ATAACGACGCCATAGGGTAGGAACTCAGCAAAAAAATAGTTTAGACATAAAACGGACAGAGGAAAGGGATCTGGCAGAGGGGATGGGGGGGGGCAGTAACAATTAACTTAATCGAGGTATAAAAAAGAACGGGACGCAGCAGCCGCCGCCGCATAGGCGATTTTCGCTCCTCTGGGGTTTGCAAGTTGATAGGACCTTCGCAGGGGCTGGGAAAAAGAACTGAAGAGGCGGAAGGGTTCAGTGCAGAGTTGTTGTTGGCAATAGATTGTTTCGAGGAAGTGGGGGGAGGGGCGCGTGGCTCATAGTAGAGAGTTTGACACTGATCCGGACTAGACGGTGGTTGGCCTGGAGCGGGGGGACGTGCGAAGACGAAAAAAACAAATAAATACAGGCGGGCAAACGCTAAGGGTGAGAAAATAATGACTACCTCGAGTGGTGGGATAATTGACCACGTGCATAACGGGAGTGTCCAGACAAAAGAAAGGGTTTAATATCTTTAAAAGGAGCGAACGAGCACAGCCAACGCAAGTAGGCACGTTTGCTGTTAGCGGCGGAGGGCGGTGTTATAAACTGATGAGAAAGAGAGTCAATCGCGGCGAATTCAAGTCACATAAGTACATGCATTATTTGAGAACAGGATTCGGCCGCCGCGAAGGACTAACTAGGTAGTCGGCATTTTTAGAAGAAAAGTATTGGCGGGAAGGCCTCATCGCACTGTGAGCCACATCATATCAAAAGTGGTGAAAGAGAAGTCAGGAAGACTGACAAAGGTAAACAGTCCGTTTACCCGTGCAGAGAGGACCGGATTTTGACAGTTGGCAGACCGGATTCCAACAAACTGCGAGTGTCATAGAGACTGCATTAAGAACGCATCGCTGCGGACCCCAGTCTCCGTCCTGAGATGAGCGAATTAGCTTGTCAGTTGACAGCCTTGCAAGCCACGACTGCTAGCCCAGCGTACCGGTTAAAATGTGAATCAGATTGTTTATGGTGAGGAATATGCACTGGGTGTCGTGGGAAAGGGGTCCTCAGAGTTAACCGCACTCTCCACTCTTCCCAGAAAAACCAGTACAATGTCCAAGTAGGTCAGTCATCTGATGCGACCGGCTCAGGCGGTGACCGGAGGTTTGGAATGGGAAGGGGGAGTGAGGTCGACGACTCAGCGCATTTTCCTCACTATATACAATCTGACGCGCTTGAACCGTGGCTTGGAAGGTTGCCAACTGAACGGGATAACTTGGAGCTCGCAGTAGGCCCAATTTTTGCTAATGTGGAACGGCCAACTGGTGGTCTAAGAGTCAGGCTGCAACAGCTCCCTTTATGGCCTTTATGGCACTCCCACTGTGTGGGATCCGAGCCGGGCGTGGGCGTCACGCCTAGATGCGACTTCGGCCAGCCTCCACTCTATTTGTTGCTGTTGGTCAAAAACCTGGTTGTTTTTTGTGTGGACCAGGGGGTGTGGAGTGAGACGCCAAGGTGCGGGCTTGGCCGTGCCATCCATCTGCGCCCTCGCCCGTCCGCGGTCTTCTTGACTATGTCATGACACCGGGTCCAGGTGATGGAGGAAGATTGAGTGCAGTAGATGCAGCGCAAGTCTAAATCCACTGTAAACTAAATCACGCGCAAGTCACCGTGCCTGCCCCACCTTGCTGTGGAGCACACAGTGGGCATCGTTGGCAACAACGGTCGGACTATCGGGTGTAATTAACGTGCCTGCGCCTAGGCGTGTCATCACGTCCTCTCATGTGCAGCATGTGTTATGAATGCGCAACCTAAATAACGCGTACCATGCCCTAATTTGACCCTCGAGTTAGTTCGGCACATCATCTGCGTGGCCCGTTGTAGGGGCTAGGTTACAGTTATCAGCTAACATCAGTAACTCTTTATCTCACGTCTCCTATTTGGAACTCCAGTTCCTATCCTTACCGCAAGAGACTGATGACCTGGACTGGCTGTCCAGGTGAGATTACATGCGCATAAGATCTTTCTAATTCTGATCATTGGGAGACATAAAGCCCTCCACAAAAAAGCAGACTTCCTTGAGATGGTGGGAACCCCGGAAAGGGGAGCAGTTTGTTGGCCTAGATGGGGGCAATTCGGTGTATGTTGACAAGTTGCCAGTAATGGAAGGGCCTTTAGAGAAGACAGCTGTAAAATAATCAGATTCTCGGGTCTGACGAATAAGCAGCCGCGGAGCATGCAAATATGGCTCGGCAGCGACTGGGCAATTCAACTACTTATAATAGATCGCTAGTTATGACAGCAGGTGAAGAAACGCGAGTTTTTTGTTCGGATCCGTGTCAATCGTAGCAACGAAAGCCATGAGTCAAAAAAATAAAAGATGGAAAACATGCCTTTTTAATCAGTCATCAACAGTTCTGTACGTCACGAAAAAACAGCGAAAAGCGAAAACAAACAGCAACCAAGGGCGATGGAAAGAGAGCCTAGGATGCCTATACATGCTATTTAAGGGCGGAGGGACTATGGTCTAGCCCTGTCAGGCGACAGGGGGAGAGTGCCGGTGGGTTGTGTTCGCGTTTCGTCGTTGTCACGCAAAGTGGTGGGATGCGAACGGGAATAGGAGGCACACTGCCTGGGCCAGGGTAGCTGCAGAGCTTAAAAGGACGTCTTCTGAGAGCAGGAGGCTTGGCTGGCTGATCGTATGGTCACCACCTCTGTCGTCGCAAGTATACGCTGGCAGGGGAATTTGAATTTGACGGAACAGTCCGCTCCGAAGAAATCCGGTACAATATGTCTAACTTTTAGGGACGACAAAGTTTAAGCACAAGTAAGCGACGCTTGTGTTGTACCATAGAAAGAACGTACAACGCAGCAGAACTTGTCTTCATCAGTTCCACTAAAAGCCTTCCAATTAACCGGGCAAAGGATGCCTTGCCAATGCACTCCAATCCAAACTGCGTGTACGAATTCACATGAACTTGCGGATGCAAGTACATTGGGCGAACGCAAACGCAACTGGCAACCAGGGCCGCTGAGCATTTGCCTAACTGGCTTTTCAAACAGGAAAACAAAACCCTCCATTTGTCTATAACGAAAAATCTGTTACACAGTGGTCATTTTGTCGAACCTAAAACATCTTTTCGAGTACTTGTCCGAGCGCATACAACTCCAACCTTGCGTTACTTTGAAGCAGCTTGCGTGCGGGGGAGAAACCAGACCTGTACAAGCAGTTAGACCACGTGATTAATTTGCAATTTCCCTGTTAACCTTCACGCCTCAACTTGCTTGTGACTGTGATTTGTTGTTAACATTCCGCCTCCCTCTTTCCTATATGATGCTTATGGGAACGTCTTTCATCAGATTATTCATTGCCTTGAACCTCGACCTTGATCTTATGCTCTGAAATTCTGAAAAAATTCATACTGACGTGCGCTTCCATTCGTTACCTACGTTATGCAGAGACGGACTGCAGTTGATAAACCGTCACGAAGTTTAATGGCCCCAATATATTCTGCTGTACATGCCTGTTTAAATTTGAATTGCCTCGCCGGTACTCTGCAGATGACGCAAAGTGGTTGGTTGACATCCGCACAGTGGCCTCTGTCAACCAGGCGGGCCTTGTTTTTGCTGGCAAACTAAGCTCCATTTCTGAACTAGAAGAACAAAACTGCAGAAATGTGTGTACTTTCCTATCCACGTTTTCTGGCGCCTACTAATTTTTCCCACCAGACATTCTACTAAATAAAAGGTTAAATGAAAGGCACTTTGCCTTCCTTTTTCTAAAGTGAGGAACGAGTGAATAGAATGTCCAAATCAACCTCCGCGTTTACGTATACGAAAGTATCCACTAGAACCGGATAGAGTTGATTCACCTTTAGTTTCCCCATTAAGACAGCTGTTCATGGAAAAGTTCGTACAGTGACCCCATCGATGTGCCGTCAATATGGCGGTAAAAGTCGCAACTTAATTTGGGTGAATTAAATTCACCAATTTTAGAAAAAGGGAATGGAGTGTGCCTTCCATTTCCTGACGTTTTACTTAGCAGACGGAGCATATGCCCTATGGATACGCTGGAGAGAAAGTGGTTTGACTGATATGCCCCTTACGCATTCGGCTAGGCAAGAGACTTGGCATCGTTTCTAATTAGAAATTTGTGAGCTGTCCGGTTCATGTTTTCTTGCTGACTACACATCAGCTAATTCTTCTAACCGGCATTCTGCTAAGTAGAACGTCAGGAAATGGAAGACACACTCTATTCTCCTTTTCCGAGACAGTTGACTATTATTCACCAGGATTTAATGACCAATATAACCGCCACATCGAAGGTAAAACAGTTTTAGCCCATTTAAACGAAGGACTGCCTGTGTCCGTTACTACAGCACATAAATTGATTCCCGCGGTTAGCATAAGGCAATAAATTAATCTCCAAGTGTGGTAAGCTCTGTTTAGTAAAACTCTCGAAGGCAAAGTACTCTCCTCTCAAGGACATGCACGTTCAAATACACAAGTGAAGACTAGCACAGGAAACTGCCCGAATGCATCGTTCAAATGTATAAAAACTTTGCTTGATAAAATTGCGTGGACACATTTTCTGCACAAGGTAGACCTTAGTCTCTCCGCCTTCAAATGGCATGCCTAGGCATCCTGAGCTCTTTTACCACCGCCCTTATCTATTGGTTTTTTTTACCTTTTGCTGTTTTATCGTGAGATACGTCACTTTACAGGCCTAGCGATGAATAGTCCAAAACGTGCGTTTGCAGATAAAGAAGGCGAGTGTCAGGGGAGGAGGGAGGGAAGGTTGGGGAAATTGCTTGACATTCACGGAAGCGTACAACGCGGTGACCGACGGCATATCAGTTCTCTAATCTGGGGACGCTGGGGGCAATGAGTCTACACAGACAAGAAGAAGCGTATTGAGAAGCCTCCGAACAAGTTGCAGACGTTGCATCATGCCTGCCTTGTCCTTCCGAGTTACCATGGCGGCCCAGCGGTCGTACGCATCAGAAATGGACCATGTGACGTCTTTCTACCCCCAAATACTATAAGCTACGCCCTAAACAGCCGGTCCGAGCGCTGAGACCAGTACCTCAAGCAGTTTACTTTGCATAGTATGACTTCAAGTCAAAGGATAATCTTGATCAGTCGACGAAGACAAGACAGAATGGGAGTACACGGAATTAGTCACCTATTACGGTGCAAATTCCTAACCTCGTAACGCCATCCCAGGCCTCTAAAAGGGGGCCACGGTTCACCTTACGCCCTAAATAACAAACAATCCACGATAAAGACAGTCTAGAATCTGGACCTAGGCTCCCGTTGAAAATTTAATCCATTTTAAGTTTTTTTTCGGTTCGTCAAATGACTGTATCTGGCGGTTTTCGCAATTTTGCTCGACATGAGTCCTGTCTGCCTGGCAGTTCATAGACAGAAGTCACTACGGAGTATGGCCGCCACAGTTGAAGAAGGCACTGCGTGGGTTTTGTCACATTTCCTCTAAAACTGGCGTACAATGATATCCAAATGACTTCCTCTGCCTGTAAAGACTGTAAACTCGTAAAAATGGGAGCTGGTCCCATGAATTACGCCTTCATTCCATTTTGTAAGCTCTTCCTCGTGCTGCCTAATGCCAGTCAAGCAGTCAACATCCGAAATTGTGCATAATAATTGTTGACCCAAGTACCAAGTGGGAGGAGGTTATAAATAAGCCTACTACCATGAAAATTTCAGCTGCCTCTAAAAAGCAGTACGTTAATTAGGGTCAGGGCTACTAAGGGCATTTGTCCAAGCTAAGCTTATGTTCAAGATGGGCTTTGCAGAGATAATTTGCGCTAGCGCCTCCGACCTAGCGAGCGAGCTTGCTGGGGGCAAGGATTGAGCCGCGGCCGGCCGACAACGGTCGCCAAATCGGAAACGACAAAGTCGGTCCTCGTCACTCTTGTTGGAAAGTCGATCGATCCCGGACTGTCCGTCGCAGTGCGAACGCCTGTGATCTGGACTGATAGACTCAATCCTCTGGAGTACAATGAACAAATGGACTTAACTTCAAATTCCAGGTCTTCCATGGCTGGCTCAGGTTTATCGGCGATTGTTGCGAAAAAATATGCCAAATGCATGCATTCGAAAATGGGGATATTTTTCCAAAAGCCCAAAAAATATTGACAGGAGTCAGAAATTTGCCCGACAGTTCGACCGTCACGAACGACGATTTCCACCAAGTGCCCCAAGGAGTGGACGCAAAAGCAGTGACCGTCGCGTGAATCACTTTATAGTGGTAATAGACTTGCGCAGCATCAACCGCACTCTCCCCTCTCTCTCTCTCCGATGAGAAGACAGTGCGAAAACGGCCGGAGATGGACGTGGGCGCAGCGGCTGACGAAGTCCAACAGTCCGTTTACGCGTGCCACACGGGATCCGACGATGGGGGAAGGGGGGGGGTTCTGTAGGGGCAACTTACATGATCGGATTTCATTGAGGTCACATAAAGCCTGACCGCGAGTCCTGAGATAAACCCAACTAGCCCGTCAGTTGCCAACCTACGGCCCTTAGGACGTCCTGATAGATCCCGGCATGTCAGATTTGTTGTTGAGGGAAATGCGCTGGTTGGGGATGAATTCCCAAGTGTCCACCTCACTGTCCGCGTCTGCCAATCAGCTGACGCGGTGTGAGGGCCAGCGCCTAAGGCGTGCCAAATCCTCCCCCACCTCATGCACTGTAGTAGCCTCTGGCTTGCGCGAACCCTGCGCTGCCCTTTAAACGCGCACTGCGAGTCAGTTTGACTCCCGTTTTTGGTCTGGCGCAGCCTACTTTGGGGTTCACGAATGCAATTAAGAGTAGTGGCATCGATGGCACTCCCCCAACGTCGCCAATCGAGGCAAGGATAGGACAAGTAAAATGTATTTGTGTTTCGTCACTAACTTTATGCATTCTGCACACTAAAACCGATCTCACAAAATGTCGGCCGAATTCTGAAATGCGCTTTCGACCGGGAAGGATTACTTAGGTGGGGTTTTAACACTGATTATCTTGCGGCATAAATATACAATATTTTGGACTTGCCAGGATGTCGGATTTTGAGTGCACTTCTTATCGACCTCCTGGCTACTTAAGCAGCATGCATTTTTCACATTAGTTTTTAGTGGTCTTATAAATTCCGATATGTTTTGTAGAAAACATGCGTACAATATGCTTTCTTTCACTTGCTTGGTAGAAATCACGTTGTTTTCACATTTTATGCCCGAAAAAGAGGTATGCTTGGGTTTTGACAAAGTTTTCCGATCCCCAAGTAATTTTGTGGCAGATCAGCCGCTGCATTAGCGTTTAGCAATTTCAGTCTACACGGTGCATGCTTTCCGTGTAAGGAAAATCACATATTCCTCTATACCTATGGGAAGATATTGTATAGAGTTCATAAAATTTTGCAATGAATGCGGACTATGTTGTACATTTCATGAGGAGCATTGGTAAATGCACAGGTACAATGCTGTATGAATGGACATTGCACGGTCTTAAAAAAAACTCATAAATTACGTCCTTTCTTCGGGTATGAAATGTAAAAACAAGAGTTTCAACCCAACGAGTAAAAGAGTGCATATTTTTGCGTGTTCTCAATAAAATATATTTGAATTTAGAAAACCTTCGAAAATGAATGTGAAAAATGAATGCCACTTAAGTAGCTACTTCTTACCAAGTGCGGTTACCGCAGGTCGAAAAGAAGTGCATTCAAAAGCCGACATCCTGGCGAGTCCGAAATATTACAGGATTATGCCGCGAGATAATGAATGTCACAACCCCACCTAAGTAATCCTTCCCATTCGAAAGCGCATTCCAGAATTTCGGTCAACATTTCATGAGATCGGTCACTCAGTGTGCATATAGAATTTTTGCAATTTAACTATTTTCATTCACACCTGAACCGTTTAAACGGAGCTTTAAGGGCTTCTATCAGTGACTCCAAATATACTGACTGACGTGTGATTGGTCGCCAACAGCCCAACGCAATGCGCACAGCATTTGCGGAACTGTCATCGGGGCTTTGGCATACCACAGAGGGGTACAAGGCCTGGACAACTCTGCAACTATGTAGCCTGCAAAAGGTTACGCATGAGCCACAAAAAACTCGTAGGATTGACAGCCTACAGGTCTGATGGGTTAAGGCAGATTATTCATCGTCAGCACCGCCGAACCTTGCATAATCATTGGGAGTACTCGGGCAACCACAACTACAAGCACCCTCCCCCGTTTCCCCCTCCACCAAGTCTAAAGTTCTGAGCACTGTTCATAGGTTGAGTGGAACTCCAGGGGCGTGAATGACAGGTTAACAGAATGGCCAGGCAAGACGATATGAGCTTACGTACGGACTTTGTGGCACCAGCGCAAGTACTCAGTCACCGCTGAGGAGCGCTACGAACTGAAGTAGCGAAGTAAAATGGTCTCCAGCACAGCCATGAGTCAAGCTAGGTGGTTTAAGTGGTGGGACTTAAAACAGCACAAACCTACGCCCATGACTGAAGTAGTGTGAAACTACCGCCGTACCAGTAACGCCTTTTCTACACTGCTTACTGGCTCTTAATCTACTTGTAGATTAAGAACCTGCGTCGCAAGGTGCGCCTGAATGGTCTGCATAATTTGCTTTTCACGGTCATCTCTCAAGGAGCGTGGAGATGGCGTTCGTCAGACCAGTTGCGCTTATCGCCAGATGGCTCGGTTGCTCTGGTCTACACAGGCAGGGCGCATATTTAGTTCGGTATCTGCAACTGCCCACTCCTCCCCCACCCATTCGAAGGGTAACGCGAGAGGAGTGGGAGAATCCTCAGAACAAAGAAACCCGCACTTGGCCTTCAGTTGCAGAGAGGATGTTTATAATTTGAAATTCACGTCTGAAAGAGGTTGGCACAGTAACAGAAGCCCACTGGATCGGGCAACACGGACGACGACCCAGCATCGGACAGACATAAAATAAGGGCGGAAAGGGCAGATAAAGGGGTAGAAGCGAGCAGGAAGGGGGGTGTTGACCGGCGTAAGTCATCCCCTAACTTCTGCAAGGAAAAGCCGTGTAGTAAAGCGCATGCCAAATAACCGTCGGTCAAAAGTTCCACTCATGGACAACTGCTGATCTAGACTCCCAGCTATCATTTTATGATCCAATCCAGTGGGGCGTTAGAAGAGGCAGTTAGCACCATCACGGTCTGTAAAAAGACACTGCTTCCAGCTGTGGTTATTGTGGGGAACCATCTGGTATCACTCTCCAAGTTCCCAACTTAGGTGTCCAATTATCAGGCAGAAAAGACGACAAACACCTGTCGGCACTAAGGAAGAGGATTGTACAAAAATCTGGGCAGAAATAAACAGCTGCAATTTGTAGACTTGAGAAGAAAGGTATGGAGTTAGCTTCCCCTATTTACACAGATGACGGCAAATCCAGGCAGCGGGGAATTGCGTTCGAAGGCGATTACATGGTAAAATTTAACGTGGTCTCCCCTCATCGGGGTTCCGATATCATCCTTTCAGATATCAGGGAGCTCGTGCAAGTAGCATGTAGATGAAAGCTCGGATATGAAGAGGTGGTAGGGAAATCAGGGTACAGATGTCAGTCGTCCACAAAAACGGACACCTGTGACAGTTCGACCGTCGTTACCAATGATGTAAACCATGTGCTCTACAGCAGGATGAGAACAGGGACGGTGACTTGCTCAGCATCTGTCGCACTCTCTCCTCCTCCTCCCCCAAATGGACTGGGTGTGAAAACAGAGTCAAGAAAACTAGAGGCGGGGGAGGACGCAGGTGGCCAGCACGACGTAAACCCGCACCTATGCGAACCACCACATCCTCCGGTTCACGACGTACACTGACTACGATTTTACACAACAAGAGGAGAAGGGGGCGGTCTGGACGCCACACGAAGTGGGGATGCCATAGAGACCAAATTAAGGCGAAAGCATTGCAGCCCGACCCTCACGGTCTGCCAGTCGCCACTCCACACAAACCCAGGGAACATATGGCAGTCATCCATCAGCCAGTAGGATAGACGCTGGAAGCAAGGGGACTATGATGCTGAAACTATCAGCACTGGAGGGGACCGTGTGCAGATTTGAGGTCAACGGAACATCTTGACAACCAGATCTGAGGCTCTGTGGCACAAACACCGTGTCCCGTGACGTTTGTTTGCGAATTTGACTCAGATTACTCGAAGGCAATGTGGTGAGGCCAAAGTTCACTAGTGGATAACGTAGACCGTGACTGCATTATCGGGGTTCTGTACTTTATCTACATCAAAGGTTCGGGCGGAATAGCGGCCCATTGTAGGCGTGTGTTGAGGGCGGGTGATCAAATAACAACAACACTCTGAGAGTGCGCGGTTACCACGTAAATAAAACGGCCGTGAGGTCTCCGGTTGGTTGTGATCAGGCGCCCGTGAGGAACATTTTTATTTTCCACACATGTCCTCCGTTCCATGGCAAGTTGAACACTGGCTGGCAGCCAAGTCCACAGTAATCCGCCAAGCAGGTGGGGGGAGGGGGTGGATGAAATCTGACCGGAAGGCTTCAAGATAGCAAACAGCCTCAGGGTGGGAGGGGGGATGAACACAATCAGCGTCAGATGCAACCGCGGCCGTCGTGGCCCGATGCCTTAAATGAGAGCGGCTTGAAAGTGCGCTATTGCTGCGCAGATTGTAAAGCACGCCAGGTGCAAGGGAGTCACAAAGTGACAAGCGTGTGTGTGTGTGCAGAGACGACAGTAGCAGTTGACACAGGAAGCGTCGCCGCACAATCGCGTCTTTTAGGGGGTGTCACACGTGCATCGGTGTAGGACGCTTTATGGGGGATATAACTACTACGGTCGTGCCACACCTGTACCCAAACACACACACACACACACACACACACACACTTTGTGTATGCAAATAAGCTTCTGACCGTAAAGCGGACAATGACATGCCATCTGGAAGACGACTACTGACACATAAAAGGCAGCGCTGTCTGGAGGTATGCGACTTTCTCTATCAAGGCCCGTCAGTACAAGATGCAACTACAAGGCGAATGTCGTCCGGCGTACCGCCCCCGGGTAGCGCCTATTCCGCGGCAGTAGTGAATCGACTGGCTTGTTTTTGAGAAATCGACCAACCTTACTATAGACCGAAGGCGTCCGTGGAATTCTGTCTTGCCTCGAGCTGGTCATATGGTCGGGTGAGATAAAGGTCTTGTTGTCGGACCAATTTAATTTGATTTATGCCTTCAGATTTACCGGATATCAAGGATGAATATCGTACGGAATCCAACCACTGTACTGGTGTCGAGTAGCTCGCGAAACAACGTTACCCAAACAGAAGACGGCATCAGTTTGAAAATCCAAGGACTTTGGACATATGGCATGGCATCGACTTTGATTAGTGAAAACCAGCCCGCAATGTGTCCGTGATATGCCAGAATACTAGGGATAAGAAGACAACCTCGAGAAATTGATGGAAGGCTCAGAGACAGCTCATTGTCTGGTGTTGCTTTTAGTGGAGGGGTAAGAGTGGGTTTGAGGCAGCTACACTGAGTCCATAAGTTACGCGGCGGAAGCTGTGCCTAAAAACCACTCCAGCGGTCCTTCTTCAATGACTGAAATAATCGCACGTTGCATTCCGAATCAACATAGACTGCCTCACTTGCGACGACGGCAGCATACTTCTCCGCAAAAGTGAGTTCTCAAATGACAATGGTCTAGGGACCATGCACAAGAACGGAGCTTTGGTCAGACAATCATCAGGTCCAAGTTAATTGTCGAATTGGTCGGTGTATACAGAAAGAGACCGATCTCGGGAAATGTTGGCTGAAATTCTGAAATGCGTTTTCAATTAGGAAGGATTACTTGGGCTCGGTTGTAATACTAATTACCTTGCGGCATAATCCTATAATATTTTGGACTTGGCAGTATGTCAGCTTTTAAATGCGCTGCTTCTCAATCTCCTGTAGAAACCGTGCTCGGTAAAAAATGACTACTTGAGCGGCATGCATTTTTTCCGTTGATTTTTGACGGTCATACAAATTCAAATATATTTTATAGAAACCACGAGCAAAGAAATGCTTTCTTTCAGTCTCTTGATATAGAATCCTGTCATCTTTATATATTATACTCGAAGAAGGAGTATAATTAGGCTATAAAATGTTTTCTAATTACCGGAATAATTTGTAGTCCGGTCATTTATTGCATTAGCGCTTAGTGATTTCAGGCTAAAGAAAATCAGATAACTTTCTATGCCTTTAAAAAGATATCATACAGAGTTCATAAAATTTTGCAATGGATGCGGGCTATGTTGTACATTTCATGAGGAGCTGTGGTAAACGGACAGGTACGACACTATGTGAAGTGACGTTGCGCCGTCTTAAAAAATCTCGTAATTAGGAACTTTTTTTAAAACCTAATTATGCTCCTTCTTCGAGTATAAAATATAAGCATGACGTGACTCTCTATCAAACGGCTGAAAGAAAGCCTATTTTTGCTCGTGGTTTCTATAAAATATATTTGAATTTGTATGACCGTCGGAAATCTATGGGAAAAATGCATGGTACTTAAGTAGTCGTTTTTTAGCGCGTACGGTTTTTACCGATTGAAAAGTAGTGCATCCAGAAGCTGACATACTGCCAAGTCCGAAATATTATAGGATTAGGCTGCAAGATAATTAGTATTACAACCGCTCCCAAGTAATCCTTCCTAATCGAAAACACATATCAGGATTTCAGCCAACATTTCATGAGATCGGTCACTCACAGTATCATGCTCTATAGGCCTTCTTAGCCTGACACCTGCGGAGCTTAGTCAGTGTCAGTCAGGCGGAAGTCCGGCAAGAGTAAGACACCCTGGGGAAACGCCCAGGGCGCTGAGGATAATTCAGTGGATAGAGTAGTTAGATAGGGTGTGCGAGAACGCGTTTTTGTGAGACAACCGATCAAATACGGCATCAAAAAGGATTTGCTAATACAAAGGCGAGTTTCAGGAAGTAGAGACGACCGCTGGAACGTGAGCTTTACTAGCCTGACGTTTCGGATTCTCGCTCGAGTCCATCATCAGAGGGTAGTCAGAAACTCGACTGAGTGCCATGAGCGTGGGAGCCGATAATCTTGACCGGCACACAAGCGCATAGACACTTCATACTTTAACACTTGGCCAGTCGAGCCATGATGCACTCGGGAGCTGCCAACTGTGATAGGCATGTAGCAGCCTAGCAACTACAGCCTATAAATACTGCAACACCTGGGCAGTTTACTACGTTTATCCGACTCCGTCTCTGACAATGGATTCGAGTGAGGATCCGAAACGTCAAGCTAACGAGGCTCTTGGTCCGGCGGTCGTGTCTTCTTCGCGATAAGAAAAGATGTTGCAGACAAGAACAAGGGCCAGGGAAATCGACAGCACTTTTGCCGTGACAATGTGTTCCACTGATGTGCCGTCCAACTCTAGTATCAGACACAGACGCCATTGGTGGAGGTGAGGTCAAGGAAAGGGATGGTTATCGGCTATAGACGTCGATGTGCTCACGAAAACCTCGGCGCGCAAGACTAGACAGGGTTTTATCTTCATCAGACAAATAATCGAGCGGCCCGAACTACGACAAAGACCTTGGCAGCAATGTTGAAAACGGTTGAACCGCGACACCTACCCTTCTCTGTGGTTGCAGATCGGATATCTATTGGTGTAGGAACAAGCTTCCAGAAGGACAATAACCTCTCAGGCTGTGTGTGGCTGGGGTCACGAGCAGACCGCCACCTGCCCAGCTGGACTCAGTAACTTATGACAGCGTAGGGGATGACGACAGAGCTTAGGGGTAGATTTATGCGGCACTGTTTCGGACTAATCCTGCCTTCATTCAGTTAACCAGTTAACACCATTTGGGGCCAGGAACGGAAACATGTCCGCATACACAGTGCAGATGGTTCACAGATGGGGTCTATCTGGTAAATTACAAGTACTACAACCATCAGTGTCTCACCACCTAGCATCCTCTGCCGTGCTAACTCATGAAATGTTGACCGAAATTCTGAAATGCGTTTTCGACTCGACGAGACTACTTAAGTAGGATTGTAAAATTTACCATCGTGCAGTATAATTCTATAATAATTCAGTTACCTCTGGAAGCCGGCTTTCGAACGAACTTCTTTCCGGCTGCATACAAAAATTCCACCCTACAAAAATGACTACTTAAGAAGCATGAGTTTTTCTCATTTATTTTTCACGCCCTTAGAAATTCAATTACATTTCTTGGAAAACATGAATGAAAATATTCACTCCTTTATGTCCTCTTCCAATCGTATGCTCGAAGGAAGAGTATACTTCGATTTTTTAAAAAGTTTATAATTGTGAGATTTTTTTAATACCGTGAAACGTCATGTCTCTGCATTTATCAATGTGGCTTGTAAAGTCTACAAAATGGCTCAAATCCGCTGCTAAATTTTACGAACCCCATACGGCCTCCTCTTAATACCGAAGATAAATGTATGATGTTCCTTACACGGAAAATATACGGCTTGTAGTTTGGGAAACCTGAATGCAAGTGTAACGGCAGGTCATGTTCAAAATTATTCGGGGATCGGAAATGCCTTTGAAAACCAAATTTTACTATTCTCCGAGTAAACAATTTGAAGATGTGATTTTCTTCTAAGTGAGTAAAAAACGAATATTTCTATGCATGCTTTCCATGTAGTATAATCGAATATTAAAGGGTATCGAAAATCAACGATAAAAAATTCATGCTACTTTAGTAGTCGGTTTTTACAGAGTACAGTTCACGTATGCAACCGGAAAGAAGTTCGTTCGAGAGCCGGCTACCGGAGGTAACTGGATTATTATAGAATTATGCTGCATGATGATTGATTTTACAACCCTACTTAAGTAATCTTTTTAAAACGTGAAAGCATTTGAGGATTTCGGTCGACATTTCATGAGTTAGCACACCCACTGTAGTATTAATCCATGCAGGAATAGGCACACGCCGATCCTTTGGCTTCGAGAAGCAAACAAGCTCCAAGTGAAGGCTGGCGGTGCATTGATGGGCCTCAGTACGCGGTTAGGCGCTTATGCGCTCTATTGACCATTTGCGCCTTTTAGTCCCAGATGCCGTTCGATGTTATGATGGTGGAAAAGGCCTAGCCGCGCCTCTGCCAACGCGTCTTCTGTTAGTTGAGTTTGATCTGGTAGGTAGTTGCCTGCTTGTGACTTCTGGAACGCAGGTGAAGCTTGCTTTCTTCGAAAGGTCAGTGCGCCAGCGTGCGCCGCCTGGTAGGTCAAGTGAAATCATGACCTTAATTTCTAGGCCGGTTTTCACAAATTCTTTTTACCTGCATGCTATAAGAACACAGGCCATTGTGGGATCTCGTGGTAAGCTGGGAGAAGGGCTTCAAAGCCCAGCACAACTCTTTCCCTAGACGTCTCTGTTCTGGCAATGCTCAAACACACAAACAACTCTAAACGGTGGAGCGTCTTGTGGCAAGTTGCAAACAACACGCCAGAGAATTTGGCTCTGATAACTAATACTGCCAACAGCGAAAAATACTCCAAAAGTTGCGTGCAATGGACATTGGTCGCTTTTAAGTGGCATTATATGCGGATAAAACGAGGGTGCCGAGTTCGAGGGGCACAAATAACCTGAGAAAACAAACTTTCTTCAAAGCTATTCTCGCCTGACAAGGAAGAGGAATTCGTATTTCTGAGACTCAGTTTCCCAACAAGTTAGAGCTCGGAATCAACATTTTGCTTTGATTTCAAGGAGACATTATCAAGTAAATTGTGAAAAGTGCAAAAAGACTCCGGAAATAGGATAATAAAGGTGATGGTGTTGACGATGTGATAATTTCCGAAATTTCGCAGCAAAGGTCGCGTCAACCCTGGCAGCCCCGAAGACGCTTTCTTACAGTTATGTCAAAAAGACCGGTCAACTAATGTCTGCGCTAGACCTCATCAGACACCGGGCTTTCACGAGAGGCATATTTTGGCGACATGAGACGTGTAAGCTTTTGCCCCAAGTACCCACCATAGGTACACAGTTCACCCCCTTTTTTCCTCTAATTTATTTTTTGACGGATAAAATATACGAGGCTAGCCTGCGGATTGGCACCGAGTGCTCAAAGTTCGCATAGGCGCATGCGTGACATTGGTTTTTTGGGTAGGGGTCAGTTACGCTGTCCTGGTCCCAAAGGTAAGCGCAATGTGGGCATTGCAAGTGGATTAGGTCGAGGGAGGATGCTGGAATCGTTAGTCAAAGCTAAAACGGAAAAGGACAACCTGATGTTTCGGCTTAGAGATAGAGTTAGTTTTAGGGTTCGGGTTAGTGTCCGGCCGAGAATGGACTTTAAGGTTAGAGTTTGTGTTAAGTTTAGGGGTTTCGGTTAGGGTCAGGCTTTGGATTGCGGTTTAGGTTTACGCTTGGTGCTAAGGTTGGAGTTGGGGTAGAGCAGGGTTACGGTTAGGGTTGGGCTTGGAGTCAGGGTTACGGTTTGTGGTAGGCTTAGGGTTAAGTTTGGTGCCAAGTTTAGGGTTAGCGTTAGGCCTATGATTACGTTAGAGATTAGGCTTACTTCTGCGGTTACGCTTAGGTTTACCGTTAGGTTTGGGGTATTTCTGCCCCGCGTTTCCCGTCAGCCAGGTCTTTGGCGGGGATTCTAGACTTTCTTCAATCTCGCGGAAGATTTGCCATACATCAGGTTGCCTTTTCCGTAACCAACCCCGGCTACTTTCCCCATTAACGATTTCAGCATCCCCCTTCGGTTTACTTTACTTTCAGTGCTCACATTGCGGTTACATTTGGGACCAGGGCAGCGTAACCGCCCCTTGCCGTTTTTTGTTTCGGGCGAGCTGAGTGACATGTGTGCATAAAAAGTAGCTCGTAAAAGCCACGGTCATAAAATAAGCAGCGGGGGGGGGGTGAACGATTCGGCAACGATTCGCGACAATTAGTAAAAAGAGCATATGCTATTGCTTCAGCAAGTCACAGTACTAAAGGTCGAAGTAGAGACTGAGAGCAAGTCAGCGACGGCTTGCTAAAGCTGTGGGCAATCGGCCCGGTTTTCCGCCAGCCACTCATCCTATAAAGAGACCTTTTGGAAACGAAAAGTCCAATCTTCAGTCCCCATGGCTTCTCCACCAAGAATAGATTGTTACGGTTATACAGGAACTTTACCGCAAACACTAAGGCTAAAACAAGAAATCTACAGGCGGATCTTAAAGAGACACAGTGCTGGCATCTGTGCTCAGTGAGAGATTTCCGCACACCGCCGACGCCGCCGCCGCCGCAAATGTACTGCCGTTTGTCAACTGAGCACTTTGACAGAATCACTCCCAGGGAAGTGGAAAACCTGCAATATGCCCTTCCTGGAAGAGGAAAAGGACAAACGCTTACGACGGGGGGGCGCAGCCGCCGATGCCAACCGCACGATCGCGCTGACCGGCGAAGGAGAGGCGAAAACGGCGCGCGAAAAAGAAAACTGTGCTGGCTGCGCACGTGTGCACGGCAGAAGGCAAATGAAGTGCACTAGCCAGCCCAGGGAGAGGAAAGTGGATTGCGATTTCAAGGAAACTGAGGATTATGCAAAAATTCAATCAGAATTAAATTTGACGAGATAACCGCTTGATAATGAATGACACGAAATAAAGCACTTCCAGGGTAGCACCACCTTTCTACCGTGTGAAATCAGGGTCACACAGGCTGAAATTGTGTGGCATTCTGGTTATGACGGTTTAGGATCTGTGTACGTGTATGAATCGCACTATAGATTCTTGCTCATGTAATTGGTCCCCAGTTGCAAGCGGCGAGGACCGCCAGTGCTACGATGGTGCAGCGGCCACCTGCGTGCCAAGTTATGGTGATAGCTTTCGTAGCATCTGTCTCAGCCTTTCTTCCGATTTTGGTCCACTGGTAAGGTGATTTCAAGAAATTTAGATTTGCTAGAGGACGAGTGGATAGGTCACATACTACAGATATGATGAATCCATGATAAGTGGGTCACTAGTCGATCAGATAGTAGCATGAAACTTTGAACGAGTGTCAAGGAGTTGTGCAGAGCAGACCAGCCCCGTCGGGTCAAGCACAATCCTTATTTTACTCGTTCTAAGTTCACAAGGTATAGTGTATTCAATATTCTTCGGTGACTCGACCGTTTCCGACTTATGCTACGTCAAAATCGATTCAAGCGAACTAAAGCAGTAAATTTCTCGCACATGAATATTCACAGAAGGGCATTACACACAAATACTATCTGTGGCTTGGCCAGTATTTTTTGGTTGTGCTACAGTTCTGGAAATGTGTCAGAGGAATTGAAATCACAGCGGAACGTTGCAGAAGGAGAGCAAACACAATTGTGGGGAAACAAATTCATGTACAGCTACTAAACGTTACCATCCTCTGGGAGTGAAATATCTGAGAACGACACTTCAGTTGATCGAGACAAGTTAATAGTAGCTCTTTATCCTACTATATTTTGGTGCTTGCAGTTTTTGTGACGGAAAGGCACTGAACTGAGAAGACATGGACAGGACGAACGAATTGGGATGGCTATGCAATAACTGCGATCGCAGAAGCAACACTGATACAGGATGCGTGACCAACAGGTAAGAGGGACTTTCTAGATTTCCCTCCTCTTCCCATCGGAGAGATTAATATGCCTACGGCTGGATTAGGCCAGACCGTTTATTTGCTTGTATTCCTCTATTTGCTGTCCACTTGGGCTTCGCTTCCAGCAAGGACCGGTTGGAGTTCGCAAAAGTCAAAGTAAGAAACCACTTCGACTCAACCGTGAAAGACTCGGCGCCTCGGTGGCATTCGAAACAACGACAGCAAGCGGAAGGCTTTAGTACCGCCAATGTCCTAGCCCCCTGAACTGAGGCCCCACCGTGAGGCGTGAGTTAAATCACACTTTGGTCAAGTTACCCGCCCAAGACCTATTAATAATGTGAGCTTGGAAGTCATTTGTGGATTGCACGCAGTAGGTTTGGCAGGTAAATTAACGCAAATGCGATTAAATCTGCGACTCCCGGTGGGGCCTCGTAGCTCAGGTGGCTAGAGTGTTGGCTGGACTAAAGCCTTACCCCTTGCTGTCGTGAGTTCGAATCCCACTGAGGCGCCGAGTTTTTCACAGCGGGGTCGAAATGCATCATTCAAAATCTGCCAGAACACCTACTAATGTAAAAAACCGCATTATGGTCCGACAACAATCGTAGTCTACATCACTAAGGTCAATCAGGATGACTGGTTGGTTAGTCAGAAGCATATAAGGCTGTTTATGCAATACGCATGGAGGGAGAGTCCAGTCGGCTAGTAAGTAGTACTTATGACGCAGTTTCTATCTATGAAAAAGAGTCGATCAAACTCAAAGATGATAAGCAAAGATGAAAAATTTCAAAATCTCAGTACTCATCGGTGGAATAAGGCGATAACTTGTGAGAACTAGTGAAGATGCTCAACTTAAGTGTTTTCCAATAGTGTTAGGGTCCTGGATTCCGCGGCCGTTGGCATAAACTGAGTTACCTTTTCATCGCCTACGTAGAATACGACACACTAGCTCGACTTTGAAATTTTAGGACTTCAGACATAAAGATCAGATGCATGACAACTATGTCAGGTTATGATAAAGATGAAGGAGACATGATTCCGCTTCTTGACACGGTGCTGCGGCCGATTTACCTCACTCCTTGGCATGCCGAGTTAATGGCGAACACACTGGGTCAGACAGAAACTGGGGCAGAAGGCACTACGGATTGCAATCTCAAAGGCAGATAACGTAGACGAAGATAGGCAGTGGAAAGTTAATGAAGGCATCTGTCGCTGCTGTTGGTCCACTTGCCAAAACAACAGCAGATTCCTGGAACACGCTCCACGCAGTGACTGCAGTATGCGTTTGCATAATTTAACACAGCGCTCCCGGCGGGGGAAGCACGCTGAGAGGTAGGCAAAGGCGGCGCAGGAGAACAACAACTGCTTCTCCGCCAGGAAGAACAAAATACGATCAGGTAACAATGCAAAGTCTCTGTTAGTCCTGGGCTTATGCTGAAAACCGTGCCTGATAAGAACTTACTAGAGAAGAGAGCAGCAGTTGGCACGACCGGACTTGATTTTTACATGCTCCACTTGATGCAGGGGCTCACCGGCATCGCCTACATCAGCGGGGACTTGACCAGACTTAACTTCGCCAGTGCGTATCTGAGAGCTGTTGTTGTCAGATGCGCATACCCCGCTGGCCTTGGTAGGAGAAAGGTGATTTTCAGCGGTCCCACAGACGTCACCCGCTGGGGAGACAGAACCGTCGGGAGAGAGTGCTAAACCATTGACCGGACGTATGGCTGGGTCGTTTATGATCACCTAGTAAGAAAGAGCTCGGTAGAGACGTCTTGCGAAGCAGCTTGGACGCAGCGGCATGACTAGTAGTAAATTATGTGGAAACTCAAAGAAAAAACAGATGAGAGTCAGAAGGGCAAACGACTTCTCCCCATTCTCGTGCAGAGACGCTTTTCTCGGACATAAACGCATGCCCAGGGCAATTGCTTCTTGTCCGAACATCGAGGTCATGAATTCTACGACTTGAAATGTGGTAGTGAAAAGGTAAGATTGCTGCACGCCCGCATACCTGATGGTCGGCAGGTATCGCGTGCGCCATCTGACGCATTAAATCTCAGAAACCGTGCTCATTTGCACCATACAACAAGGCTCGGAACTTTATCACGGTCGTTCAATGCAGACGCAATTAGCAGGCCACATCATCACACTCACTCATATATTCTGGGCAGGAGAAAGGGAACTTGAGCATCGACAGATTTCGCTGTTGTCACCACATGCGATGACTTCAGCACCATTTGTATTTGGAATGAATTCGAAGTGCCAGATAAATTACCTGAACGCTCCGACGACTAAGCCATTGTCATTTAATACTCGGAACTCGTGAATATGCAAATACAAGCAAGCCTACGCTCTCACCAATGGTGTAACAGGACAGAATAATTCCAGCGTTAACTCCAGCGACGGCGAAGGAGCTGAGATTCACCGCTCAAGACTATGTTTGAATTCTGCGCCTTTCTAAGGATTTACTTGTCGAAGTCCTCATTTGTAGTCTATGTCACTACCTTCAAATTCAACAATCAAACGAACCTATTTACAACCTTTTAGTGATGGCGGCATCCCAGGCACTTCCAGACAACTTTATTTTCCGAAACGATTTCAAAGATTTGGCCAGGCTACCGCGATCTCCAAGAAACAGTGCGAAAATTCGCATTCTTCAGCGGTGGTAGTGGTTTTCAACTAGATCAGGCGTTGATTTAGGAATGCTAAACATCACTAATCTGATACCATTGAAACAGATGTAAAGAGCCGTTCGAAATGCCTAAAAGACACCATTAATTGTTTGGAGGTGATTCCAAAGTCCAGGCGGAAACGATTTCCGTATTTTGTGTACAACTGCCGTCTAGCCACGCCTGGAATACTGTCTAAAGGTGTGGTCAGAATACATCGTCCGACAAAATGGTCAATTGCGAAGAGCGCAGTGTCAAACAAGAATCGCCGGTTCAAATAAAAATCTGGCACTCTCAAAACACATGGAAAGGCAAAACTTTCCCACTTTCGAGCAGACAGCTGTACTCAGACTTCATCGACATACAGAAGACATTCAACAGAATGCATTAGGCTGACTTTTTCCTTGAACGAACTCACATGATGCCGCGTGCATTCACCGTGTTGTAGGAGTCAAGTATAAACGTACAGGCCGGGCATACAACGTCCACGCAGCGAATTAACTCCTCATGTAGGCTACCTGAGGAGGCAATCGAAATCTGTTTATGCCACTTATTTAAAGTTCGCCTCGACAATGTGTATAGCAGCCTAACCAGCTCTGTCGGTTCCAACGCACCTAATGGCCAAATTAAGAACGGACGTCAGCACACACATCTCTAGCTCAAGCGCGTGTGTAGTTAAACGGTGTAGTCAGCAAATAAGAACAAATCGGTCGTTTTGTCTCTTAACTGTCTTAACTCTTATCAGTCTTAATGTGTGTTCCAAAGTAAAATGACGACCGCCTCGTAATTGTGTTTCTCGCTTTATTGCTGTTTAGGTATGCTTTCGAGCTCCGTCTAGGTAACCTAGTACAACCCTTGACTGTTTGTCTGTCCCGCATTTACCAGTGTTATCGAAATTAACGCACTCTTCTGTGAAAAAGATATCTGGGTATTTTTGTGAAGAGCTACCCTACGTATATGACTAATGAGGGTCGGCGTACATCGTCTAAGCGACAGGATAAGCAACCACCGCCTGCGCGTTAGGATCAGCATACCTCTTCACACTTTGATAAGCCTAGTAGACTGTGTACTTAGTCCTCCTTCGGCCCTCTGAGTGTTCTGAATGCTAATCACAAACATAATGCAATCGTTCGTTTCCGGTTAAAAATGTTTGAGGGTGCGGCGTCTGCTGTGAGGGTTTATCACAGCCATGTGCGCCCAAAGAAATTCCCTGAAGCAGTCTTGGTGTCGAGAAGTTACCTTATAGAACAAGTCGAATACTAGTTCTCGTAACCTATGCTTTGTTTTTCAAATAGGTTCTAAGATGTACGACAAACCGACATCCCCACCACGTTGTCTAGGCATCAATGCTGACCTCACAAACAGTGCAAAAGATCGCGGATACCAAACGGTCAGAAATTGCAGGACCCAGATGGCAGAATTACAATACACAACAATCGACAGCTGCTGACTAGAAATCAAAACCCCGTCAGAGAGGAGAGCCATAAAGGAGATTCTGTCGAAAAGAAGAGCCAATGCATCACGAAAGTAAACACAAAGGGTTTAAGGGGTTTAGACTTAAGCCCCTAGGCAACAGCGAAATGCAAATTGAGATCATGCTGGTGAGCTGAGACAGGAGGAACACAATTTTCAAAATTTGGATGGTGGCCTGCTAATGAGATCGAATCTTGCCACGTACACGTGTACGAGGAGTAAGAAAGAAACGATTGAACCTGGCAAAATTGAGACACTGAAATACTACGAGGAGCAAAATGATGGTAAAAAAGGCAAGTTACTAAAAATCTGACAATAAATACATCTATAATTTGTAAACCGTTGCCTGAGACGCTGGCAGACACTTGCTTACTAACCAAGTATAGCACAAAGCGCAAACGCTTTATAAAGCCTGCTTCATGAAGCAGGTTTAGGTGACCAGCACCGGCATAAGGCCAAGCGTAAATACGAATCAAAAGGCCGTTTGATTCTGTGGCCTGAGTCAGAGGGATAAAGCCTGCGGGAACTACCAAATATTTAAGCAACAAGTGTTGGGCTTTAGAAAGCCTTCGTGAAGGCGCAGTAAATGATAAAAGTTAAAAGGCTTAAGCACCTTGTCTCTTTGGATAGTCGAGTGCTTTAAAAGTAGTTCCGCCTCCCTTGAGAGCTCACCATCAGGGCGAAAGGGATTCGAATCCACCTCACTAGTCATCAGAGAAAACGAAAAACGACTGCAGGAACGAACGCAGATTTCAAATTCTCGCTAAATGCGTTGAGGCCCAAGCAAGTCCGACTTTTCATTGGCTAACATACGCCACCTGAGACTTCGAACTCTTATGCCTATTGGCTACTTTCTGGTTTATAGTGTTTGTAGTGCACGTTATTTCGATTGGCTACTCCACTTTCATAATCTTTTCGAAGTCGTAGTGGAAAATTGAAAGAAGCCAACTTTGACGTATTCGACAGCAGTTCAGTTTAGTTCAGTTCAGTTTATTGAGGGAAATAGGCGTAAGCCTTTGAATACCATTTGCAACGTAAAAGATGTGTGGTGTACAGATAGATGTTCTGGGCTGAAATAGTTCGAACACGCCCATAATGGTGGGACAAAATGAGAAGCAGTTACAGGGGGTGAGCTCGACTTCTCATCGCTCTTGGTCATTTCGGAACATAAATATGTCCAGATTCTTCTTAAAACTTTGTTTAGATGGTGACATCACAACATCTGCTGGAAGCTCATTCCATGGTTTGACCACCCGAACCGAGAAGGAGAACTTCCGCACATCCAGCCGTGCCTGCTGAGTGCGCAGTTTTAACGGGTGACTTCGGAGGTTGGTCGTGGTAGCAAATTCAAAAAAGTCCTCGAAGGCCAGACTGCAATCCAACCCCTTTACAATGCGGAAGGCTTGCAAGAGATCTCCGCAAAGTTGCCTGTAACTCAAAGGAAAGAGGTTCAGATTTACTAGGCGGGTCGCATAAGGAAAGGAGCTTTGATCCACAACAGCCCACGGCCTCCAAGCTTGTATGCCGTACTCTAAATGTGGCCGGACGAATGTTCCGAATGTCCTAGAGAAAGCTTCTTCGTCAAAGTTCATAAACGCACGCTTGTTGGCGTACAGTACGGACATTGCGGTTTTTGCCACCCTCGAACAGTGGGCGGATGGTTTTAGGGAACTCGTCGTAAGCACACCGAGGTCCTTTTGGGCTTCGACCTCTTGTAGGGCTGCACCGCCCAGAAAGTAGCCTCTTGTGCTGGCGGATCTGGCTGTGTTGCCTAGGCGAAGTATGCTACATTTGGCAACGTTGAACCGCAGGAGCCAACGGTTTGACCACTCCTCCAACCGATTCAGGTTCATCTCCAGTCTGTCTTTATCGGCAGGACCCCGAAGTACACTCCATATCTTCATGTCATCCGCAAACATTGCTACTTCACAGTCTAAATCTCTTGCGGCATCGTCCACGTAGACAAGGAACAAAATGGGTCCCAGAACTGAACCCTGGGGGACACCACTATCGACCATTGCCGGATCTGATTTTCCCCGACCGACGCACACAACCTGGTGTCGACCCACAATGAAGTTTTCGATCCATTTAAGGAAGTTGCCACCGATCCCTATTCTTTTCAGCTTATGTAAGAGCCTTTGGTGTGGCACAGTGTCGAAAGCCTTCTGGAAGTCGATGAAGGCTATGTGGACCGCGTGCCTGTCGTCGAGAGCTCGGGTACAGCTCTGGAGAGATTGCAGCAGGTTTTTCGTGCAGGATCTTTCTTTTCGGGACCCATGTTGGCATTTCGAGAGCAGCCGTGAACTTCCAGGAATTGCATCAGTTCAGTCTTTATGATCCTTTCCATAACTTTGCAGATAATACATGTCAAGCTTATGGGCCGGTAATTTGTCGTCGCTGCCCTGTTACCTCCTTTGCGTAGCGGAGCAATATGCGCCAGCTTCCAATCGATAGGAAGTGTTCCAGTGTCAAATGACGTTTGAAAGAGCATCGACAAAGGCACAGAGAGCTCACTGGCAAGTTCCTTGAGAAGCTTGGGTGGAATCTCGTCTGGTCCTGGCGACTTCGATTCGTTCAATGCCTCTAATTCTCTTCGGACAATGCCTTCTGAGAAGAGTATATCACTGACGCTTGGAGTCGGCAGTTCTTCTGTGGAGGGATTAAGGAACCTTGCCTCGTTTGTGTAGACTGATTGGAAAAACCGTGAAAAATACGCAGCTTTATCCCTACTATCAGCGATCTCAACGCCATCAGTAGTCTTTATCAAGGGGATTTGATGCCTGTTCCTTGTACTTCGTCGGAGGTAGCTGTAGAGCAATTTTGGGTTCTGCGTTGCTTTTTGTAGCAAGTTCTTCTCGAATTCCCGCCGCGTCTGCATTATCAGCTTCCTCAGTTTGTTCCTCTGTGTCTTGTAGGTGTTGAAGCATTCAGCTTGTCTAGTGACGCAGTATTTTCTCCACAATTTGTGCTTCCTGTTGATTTCTTTCTTGAGGTTGCTATTTAGCCACCCAGGGCGTTTGTTCAGTCTTACACTAGTCAGTGGGCAGTGGTTGTTGACGAGCTGCAGAAGGACATTCTTGAACAGCTCCCAGTCATCGTTGGCACTTCCCGTAAACAATGAGCCCCAGTCAAGACCGGATAAGTCTGCCCTCATCTGATTGAAGTCGCCCCGCCAAACATTATGCCTTTTGTGGTCTGAGTATGTGAAATGGAGAATAACGAATAATCCCACATAAGCAGTACGTGGTCACTTCAGCCAAGGGGCGACATGGAGGCGATCTTGTCTATGCTGTCTGATGTTTTCGTAAAGACCAGATCCAGGCAGTTTGCCCTCTGTCCTTCACGTGTTCTCGTTGGGAACATTACATGTTGTGTGAAGCACGCATTTAATGTCTTGCTCAACAGGCGGTAATCGAATTCCGATTTTGGACCTGACGCTTGGAGGGTATTCCAGTTTGTTCCTGGTGCGTTGAAGTCGCCCATGATCATGATGTTAGGTCGACTGGACAATTTCTCCAACTGCTCCAATAGTTGAGTGTCGGCTATTCGGTCTGTCCTAGGTCATAGTAAGGACATCGAGACACGGGGAACCGGTAGCCTTGATGGTCAACCAGATAGCTTCCGTACTGCACGCAAACTTGGTGGTGTTATCCGACACTGTCAGACCGTCATTCACATACACAACGATACCACCACCCTGACGATGTTCCCTGTCCCTCCGATAAATTTGGTATCCAGGCAAGGCTACTTCCTTATCGCTAATATTCCCGGACAGCCAGGTCTCAGTTACTGCTAAAATATCTGGAGACAGCTCAACAAGGCAAAGTTTTAGTTCGTCTAGTTTCGATATGAGGCTTTGGGCATTCGTGTACAAGCACCTCAGTTTAGCACCAGCCGAATTTCCCGTTGCATTTGTTACTGCTGCGAGCATTACTCCGTTATCGCGGACGTCGTGCTCTCTAGGCTCTTCCGTTACCTGATTGGTCCCATTTACATGCCTTGTTTCAGTCAGATCACTGGACTCTACGGGCTCACTTGTGTTGGCGCCTTGATCAGGTGGTTCAACGAAGGTGTCTGTTTTAGCTGAGTAGCAGTCGTCGTTCGTAGTATTACAGGCTGGTTCCACTGAAACGGCATATATTTCCGAACTACCTTCCCCTTGAAGATAGCCAGATTGTGTTCGCCACCATTCAGTCTTGATTTTAACTCCAAGACAAGTTCCCGGTTTTTCAACCGTTCCGCTGGTAAATAGTCCGGTTGAAAAAAAACCTGTTTGTGTGTGTTTCTGAGATCGGTTTTTTTAAAGAGGATAAACTTGATTTGCTCTTTGTTCTCCAGCATAATTTTGAGAGGACGAGGTGGTTGTGCTACTGTCCTGTCTTCACTCCTTTTTCCTATCCGGAATGCTTTCAGAACCTTTATTTCCATGTCTGCCGGCAGTAAATGATTTAGCAGACCATGAAGCAGAGGTACGTGCTTCACTGCATTCACAGAGATGGAGGTATTTTGGAATTCGGTCCAAATTATTTATTCCTGTTTTAGGTATGCCTCCGAAAAAGTGCTGTTTTCGGAATTTCACCATACAGGGCGCTCATGCGGCCTGGCGGCACTAAAAATTGATTTCGGCCTAGCAGTATCATCCTTCTCACGAATTCACAGCGGAACACTCTCATAATTAAGCAGTCTCCTTCTGCCCGCTTCTTCCCCACCAGATTTGGGAATCTTAAAATCAGCGAAACGCGCATTTCGGTTCACTTCAGTTTATTGAGGGAGCACAAATATGTCAAGGTAACATCCCAATATCTGTGGGAAAGGCATTCCATAGTTTGACTACTCTGATAGGCAAAGAACTTCCGCACATCCAGTCTTGCCGGCTGAGCGCGCAGTTTAAGCGGTTGACCACATTATTTGATTGGAGTGGCAAATCCAAAAGACACCTCTAAGGCCAGTCTGCAATCCACTGCCTTCGCAATGCGAAATACTTGCCAGAGATCCCCGCAATACTGTATGTTACTTAAAAGGAAGGGGTTCCGACTTGTTAGGCGGGTTGCATAAGGTAAGTACTTCTGACCGGGAAAGAAGCTCAAACCTTTTTTACTATTTGTTTGATATTCTTTACCTAATTAGGTACTTCGTCCGCTACTTTGCAAGTTGTTTTATCGTTTTTTTAAATAAATTTTAGTCGGTCAGTTCAGGTCAGTCTAGTATGGGAATGGGGATTTCGCCCTTGAACTCCCTATTTATATCCAAAAACAGCAATAGAATCAACTGTTACATCAGTGAAGTTGAAGTTCAGAAGTCAGCGGTAAGTGTGACCTTTTGCGCCACTAGCACAATCGTCACTATGTGTACAGTAGTTCTTTTCTAAATCAGAGTCTTGTCTGCTTTAAAAGATTCAGCAGAGCAGGAAATCCGTTCCATTCTTCAATGACCCTCTGCAAGAAGACATTCCGTCGGTCCTCTGTATGGGTCAGGTTTTTCTTCCGTTTGGGAGCATGACCACGTAGACGGTCCGTCCCAGCCATTTCGAAAAGTTTGTCGAAGTCTGGGGTGGACTGACGGCCTCTGACAATTCAGTATGTTCGCCGCGCAGTTACCTTTAATTGAGAGGAAACAGGTATGGTTCAGTCAGTCTGGTTTCCTAAGACAGATTACCAAGATTCATGACCATCTTCGTAGTCATTGCCTGCACTCTTCCCACCTGTTTATAGTCTTTCTTGAACCACGGTTGCCAGGACTGGACACAAACTCTATATGAGACCGAATCTATTCTATATGCACAAATCCTCGCCTCAACTCAATAAACTAATAGACTGGGGTCTCCATGCATTGGCTTCAAATTTAAAGATAAGTGTGGTATCCTATTTTTGAGTGATTTACTTAGTGACACAAAGATCTTTAACCATTGTTTTTTGTTTGAATTTCTTCAACTGCAGACATATTCTTTTAGAATTATCGGTTGCCACTTTCTTTTTGGGCTTTTGGTAGGTTGTGCTTGTTGACTACCAGTCGCACTCTGAAATTCCCATTTTGAGCATTCGATTTCTCTCTGTGTATTTTTGACATCGTTAGCCTCGAGCCGAAGTTCAGTCACCTGGTCTGTCAGAAGTTCACTTAGTTGCAACTTTCTTCGAGACAAGATGAGGACAAAAGTCACGGGTCGGCCAAAGCTCTTGGCCTTTTTATCTAAGCGTGGTTAAACCAAAGCTAAGTCAGAAGGCTTAATTTAATCTAAGTCAGAAGCATTACTACTCAGCCGTCACCCGCTGTAGCCGATAGGCAGCTTCATCTGTCTGCACTTTAAAACTGCAATGAATTTATACTAAAGTTCGGCACTCTGCTCTTAATTCTTGGAAAATTATTCGACGAGAACATCTCCGATATTCCCTCTCAAGAATTCAGACGTCATGACTCCCTTGTTCACTTGAACGCCAGTGAATCTAATAATAGACAAAAACGAGCTTGCAACTTCTTGTTGAAAAAGTCTGTCTGTATGCTCAACCAGTTGATGTTGCGACTAATTTCCTGTATTCATGTGGTTTCAACTACAAAATAGCCGATGCAAAATGCCTGTCCTCCCGTAGCAAAAATCCGCCTGTCTTGGTTAAGTTCTTTTTAACAATCGAGGTCGGCTCAGTATTTGCTCATCGAGATCGTATCTCTGCGTACTTGGAAAATGCACAATTTTTCCTTTGTCATGATCTTACTCCCATAAAGCGTAGAATCTGGTCCCTCCCCGCACGTAAACTCACAGCTTTTCAGTCTAATGCTCAATAACCCGGTCATAATACAATTGGCCGTGAGGATTCTGCTGGTCTTACTCCTCCGACAGCTGACTCCCTCCCTTCCCGTACCCCTACATCTTCTCTCACTCAGACCACTTGACGCATTTGCCTGCCCGTAAATTATCAGCAGCAGCCCCAGTTGTCGTTCCTAATCCTCTATATGGCCTCCCGAGGACGCGTGACAATCCGTCTACATCAGCTAGCCCGATAACTTCCCCATTTCAACAGGATCT